TCTAACTCAAGCCGTTTCAACTCAATTTCTGCCATTTTTTTCCTGTGTTCATCAGCCAATTCTTCCAACTCTTAATTGCCTTGTTGTTCTAAAAAATATTGTTTTATCTTGTTTTGCTGCTCTTTCAGTCTTAATGACACCTTTGCCTGCCTCTCAAGTTCCTCTTGTTGTTTCTTTAAAATCATTATATTAACACAGTCCCTCCACTTGTATAGGGAACAAAGTTATTCGCAGGAACAATCGGAGTTACTGCGGAAAAACAGTTGTCGAAGGAACGTAGTGTTGTTGAGCTGACATTAAAGGGGCAGCAACAGCTGGTCTCCACAAACTACTATAAGGATTATAGTGGTCACTTGAAAAGTTATAAATACTAACGGGAACACCCTTTTTTTTTTCTCAGAAAGTGTTTTCGACGGAGCGGCGGTATAACGACTAGAATTCTGAGAACCCGATTGCTGAAGTCGGCTGCTTCGGTGTGACAACTTAGAGCGGGTATCTGTTTTATGCGACTGTGGTTTTTAACATTTTTCGGAATGATGTTTAATTTTTGAGCTGCTATCTATGTTGTCCGGCTCTGTTACCACCTCAAACTTTGTTTTATATGTGATAGCTCCTGCAAAACTTTATCGTTGCTTTGAGTCAACTCATGAAGCCACATGTCCTGTGCCGGCATCAATTCGTCGGGGTTGGCACGTTTTGCAGCCATATCAATCAACTCATTATTTACCTCGACCGCTTGTTCTATATAGTTCCTACAATTTTCAATATATGTATCAATTGTTGAGCAACGACTCTGAATCTCTATGTATTCCAAAATTATTTCGTGGCATTTATAAAGTTCGTTTTCGAGATTGCTACGTTTCACAAACAAGTTCCTAATTTTCTTCTGAAACTTAACTTCCATGCTTAATAATTTCAGAAGTAAACGACTCTCAGAAAATACTTTATAGTCACTCAAGTAAATTCACGAAATATTCTAATACATCAATAACTTTAAAGTGGGAGTAACTTGAAGTTTTAACGCGTTAAGTCTAACGTGAATCGCCCTACAATTTTTAGGCGACAAACGGTTCCGCTTCTTCTTAGCTTTCAGTGTACTTAGGTCAACACTGTATCGTCTAAGTAACAACAAAGTCTTCAACTCAAGGGAAGGGGGCGGGTGCAGCTCTTTATAATTTATACTTTTCGATAAGTATTTGGTCTTTGTTTTTCGCTTTGAGATAAAATCCTCAACTATGTTAAGAACGAGAAAACTTGTCTTTTTCAACTCGTTTTCTGTATTGTCCGTACCGTTGCAGCGACAGTATACAATAGCGGTAATATTCTCTTTGTATCTCAAAAGAAGGCTCTTAAGTTGGTCAGTACTCAAACTACGGTTGTTGTTACTGCGGTGCTTACTAATGGAGTTATTTATGGCGCCGTGCCAAATAACTAGATCGTTCCAATTCGACAAAAAAGGATGCAGATAGTATTGTATAGTTTTCTGCGAGTCCCTGGCGTTGAAATTAAAGCTTAAACCGGGCTTTGTGAAACAAGTCTCTTTCACGCGCTTTTGAGACGGTGCGGACAGTTTACGGAGCGCGTGGTCTTGAGAACTGGCCCCTAGTATGAACACCATACGCTATGAGCCCTTATTCGCGACGGTAGTTACCAATGGGGATGGGAATTGAGTAGGTCGGTTGAACTCCAACAACCATGCGGAGGAAAAATGAGGCTGAACAAATTCAACTTAACCTGCTTAATATCACTGTAGCTGACCACTTAACATTACTGTGACAAAACAGAATCAACGCGTGAGCTGGTAAACAGGTGCGTTGGAGAGGGCAACTTAAGTTTTAGTTAGCCAAAGAGATGGGGAATCAGGAAAATTGGTTGAATTGCAACAACCACGCGGAAGAAACCTGAGGATGAAAAAACTCAACATAACTTGCCTGATACTGCCTGCCCAGACCACTTAACATAAGTTGGAATCGGATGAATAAGCGAATTTAGGGACTTTATGTCGTAGTTTTTTTTCTACAGTTTTTGATTTTTTTGTGTAGTTTTAGCGACCAAAAGTAACGATTATCAAAAATTTCCTACAAAATTGACGGTTCGAGAGCTCGATTCCAAAATTTATTCAAAAACAATGATCTAGTACTTCTGTCTATGTTCCGTTTTTCTGGATTTTCAATCCGTTCACAATTAACAAAAAGAATGTGGTATCGGGAAAGTTATCACTTTTAGCTTGCTTTGGGTTGGGATAAACAATAACACATCGTACGTAATTTTTTTGCAAAGAGTGGTTTCAAAAAAAAAACTAGGCGAGTCTTACAGTTTTGGAGATTGGGCGATCACCGGTTTCGGGTTGTCAGATTTTTGGTCAGCTGCAGAAAAAATCTCTAGTAATAACTTTTCAAACTCACTCAAAACGTCTGTAGTTGACCCCCTGTCTGATGTTTTGGATATCTGAAAAGGCCTCGTTCCCGTCTGGATTTTCGCCTTGTCGGCCAGCTGCAAAATTTAACAACTTTTCATCCAATTAGACACTTTTCCGCCAAACGCCAACTTTGAGGACTTTCAGCCAATTCGGTTAGCTGCACACTGTGCCAACTCTCTTTCAGCCGACTGAGCACTGTGACAATTTTCGGCCAACTGAGCACTTGGCGTTTTCGGCCAACAGCACAACTTCACTCTGTTTTGGCCAACTCACTCTGTTCCGGCCAACTCACCCTGTTTCGGCCAACTTCACGCTCTTTCGGCTTTCGTCCCTTGTGCTCTTCGTGTCCCTTGGGGGGCGCCAAAATGTGCGCGTCAATCTCCACGAATTGTAAAAAGATTAGATTTCAGACAGATTGAATTAACGAGCATTTTCCCTCGAAAGTTTGTAATATAACGATTTTTTACATAATTCAACATCGGTAACATCGGCCATAAAAACTGCACAACTCAAAGCAAGCTGCAAAAATGGCCAGTATTTGTCCTTGCGACAAATTGCTCTTTTTAAAGGTCAGTCTTAATCAAGGCTGAACCAAATTAGAGCGAAAAAACGGTTAAATTAGGTTCATTTTCGAACCTAGTTACGGAGTGTCCCATCAAGTTCGGGGCATATTTGAGTTCTAGAAAAGAAATGACCTAGGCGGGATTTGCATTTATGCTCTCGCTTACGTTTGCGCTGCAACATGTATATTTCTAGAAAATTTTCCCAGTGTCGAGAAAAAACCCGTTTCAAACTTTTATTTTTGGTCTAATTTTGAGCGAACGAAAAAACTGCGAGCAGGCAGGGGCGGATCTAGGATTTTCTCGAGGGGGGGGGATTTGCAAAAAAATTTCAAAAATTTTGTCGACTTTTTTTTAGGCGACCAAATTGATTTTCTGAGCTCTCCTGAAGCACTAAAAAGAACCTGTTTTGGCCAAAATTTCTGCCCCGCAGGCAAAATTTTTGAAAAACAAGCCAAAAAAGGCGTTTTTCGGCACTTTTTGGAAAATTTTGATGAAAAAGTCGCGCGCGCTCCCCCATCAAAATTAGTATATATTGGCGCCGAAGGCGCTGTAGAAAAATTTTAGGGTCGATCGGCCAAAAATCTATTTCTTAAAAAGTACCAAAGGGGAACTCTTTGGGTCGGCAGGGGGTCGAATCACTGAGAGGGAGCGTCCGCTCCCCCCCCCCCAAAATCCGCCCCTGCGAGCAGGCTTATTTTGTGTTTCAACCAAAAAACCAGTACCCATCAATAATCATCGGAATGATTGGAGTGATATATCATATTAAAACTTTTTAAGTTTTGATTCGAACGAAATTTTAAAGTTTCCACAAAGTTGTCCAAGTGTCAAGAAACACTGCTTCTTGACACTTTGAGTTTCTAGTAACGGTATGAGCGAGTACAGCGAGCAAGCAGGATTATTATTTTGGAGGGTTTTGAAGCACCGTTTTCGGAAAGCGCTGTTCTGGGATTTGAAAACTTCAAAAACTGAAAAAAAAACTTTTCACACTTCCCCAACTCTTCTACACTGCCCTTCCCCCCTAAATTTCCGCACCTGCTTTAGTCAGATCCTTTTGTTCTCTATCCGTACAAAAAACGACACTAATTGAAAAAGAATATCGATGATCAGAATATTCTGTGCTACTGCTACTTGCACAGCAATCAGCTATCCTTGTTATTTTTTTGAAGTTAATGCGCCCAAATTGGTGTACTTAATTAGTTTAATTTGAAATCTTGAAGTCTATATTTTCTGTATTGTGAGTTTGAAGACTTTTGAGATTGGCAAAGTGTTGTGCGAATGCTTTTCCTTCCTCAGGGATTTCACCTGTGGCCTCACACTTTGGTAGTCATCGCAAAAAAATTTAGTAACTTGAAAGTGAGAGAGCGCTACGAAAAGAATGCCATTTATAAGTAAAAAAAAAAACTCTCAAGAAAGGGCCAAAAGACGAAAGTAGGGTTTTTTGTAGTGTTTTGAGTCCTAGGAAAGTCAATTTGGTGCACCTAAAAAGTGTCGACAAAATTTGGGTTTACGGAATTGGTATTCTGAGATCTGCCAACACACTAAAATGGCCTTTTTTGCCAAAAAAATGTTGCTAAGTTTTGGAACAAAAAAAAACTGGCTTAAAATGAAGTTTTAGTGAACTTTTTGAACTTTTTTGGGGCAAATTTTATCCTCTACTTAAGTGCATATTGGCACCGACCAACATCGTATAAATTAAGTGTATATTTTGCACCGACCAACATCGTATAAATTAAGTGTATATTAAGTATGTCGTTAAGTATTAGCAAAAGGGGTGGGTACCTATTGTGTGTTGTGTGGTTGGGGGGTCGACTCTCTGAGGGAAAAAATCCCCCCTTCAATCCGCTGGACTGGCTCATTGTACCATTTTATGCCAAGTCACCATTGATAGTCTTTATCTTAAGAGTTCAGTTAATATTTCGTGGATTACACTCAAATAATGGATTAGGGTGTTCAATGGTCATGCAACCGATTACTAACGAGTAAGTTTGGCGGTGTTCCGATTGTTGCCTTATTTACAGTGCTTGCAACTTCCATTCCCGTCGTTGGGGTTCTGGAGACAACATGCGACACTTGGGACCAAGTCGAGTCGCTGAGGGATCTGACTATGTGTGCAGATAAACTGGAGTCTAACTACGCCTGCCCGACGGGAGAGGGCAACGAGACAGACGCTTCATGGGCCGAATCAGAAGTGTCTCAAGTAAGGATTACAAATCATTCTTTTTTCTTGTATTTTAACTCTTTGGCTCTTTTACCATTTCACCTAACCATATTTTTTCTCGAAAAATTTTCTGCCAATGCAGTTTATGAAAAACAAGACACACCAATCCGAAATCAGAACTCATTATTGTGAATAAACTACACGGCAAAACTTTTTTTCGAAATTTTAACAGACCACTGCTTCAATATAATTAATATGATTGCTGACAGGGAGCCCAGGGATGGTACTACGACCTCTGTTGCAACCAAGAGGGAAATCAAAATGCCAACTCAGAGAAGGTCCGCAAAGCGGGATACTGCGAACCTAGTCAATGCACCTTCAACCTGGGATCGGTTGAATTCTGCATCCGGTCTCCCAGTGTCCCATGTGAGGATGACGTAACTGGATCGAGACATTACGTAACCAACCAATGTTGCTACAACGCAGATGGAGATCTTCTGAGAACCAAAAGCGAAGGTGCGGGAAGTATGTCTCTTCAACCTGGAACCATTGGAAACATTTTTGCGCACTACGATATGGATCTGAAGCCATACAATGATTGTTGCAACGCTAATGGTGATGTCGACGAAATTCACGAAGACTGCAGCATCTACGAAACGCACCGACCGACTATTTTGGGAACCTACAAAGCTAGTGTTACTGCAACTGCGCAGTTTGACCCTCACTTTTCAACTTCAGATGGCTTAGTGTACTCCTACATGGGTCTAGGTGTCTACACATACTTGCTGACTAACCACAGTCATCCAGTGAACTTCCAAATTAGTACCCGTAAATTTGGAGGAGGTACTATGATATCTGGGTTTGCATTGACCTATGACGTCATCAAGATCGAATGCTATCGCGCTGATTCTGGTGAAACTCACTTTTTCATCAATGGGGAAGACTTCTCGGCCGAGACGATGACACCATACACAAAACATGGAGTGTATGTTGAGCTGTTGGAGAAAGGAATGAAACTGAACATCCAGGAACTGCAGCTGATTCTCAACGTGTACTACGTGCCTGGGAGGAACTTCATAGCTATATATACCACACTGCCCGAGTCTTTCCTTGGAATGACAAAGGGTCTGATCGGTTTTTATGACGGAGACTCCTCCAACGACTTCACCGCTGAAGGTCATTCCCCATTAGCGTTATTTTAAAGATATTTGACTCTTTTTCTTTTCCCTTCACTTGCGAATTTTATTATGTAATTTTTCCGTTTACTTTGTCCGACTGTTACAAAAATTGGCATGACTAACTAGATCATGACAAAAAATTTGGTCTTGATACTTATCCTTGTGCCAACCCTCGTTACACCATAAAAGTGATGCTTATTTGAAGTAAAAAGTGCTAGATATTTCACCAAACTCTTGAGGAAAACTACAAACCTTCCGAAATTGTTACAAAAAAAACGCAAGTCAACCTCAAAACACACTTTATTTTTCCGACCACTCCATATGTTCTCCGACGCTCTCGCCACCTGAAAACTCGAAACTCGACACCCTCGCCACCCGAAAACCCCTCCTGTAGCACTATTTTAGACAACGTTTTGCCTCTTTAGGGAAATCTACTTTTTGGTCTCTGAATTCACAAGTTCTTTTGATGGCAAGATAAAATAATCTTGAGAAGTCAACAAAATTTTCAAGAACTTTTAAGCATCCTGCCCGAAACTCCTAGACTTGCTTCCAATTTTATGTGTGTTAGATATAAGATAGGCTTACATCTCAAAAAGTTCCAAACCTGTATTCTAAAGGACTTGAAGAACCTAAATTATTATTTTAGACGGTTCTGTCTTGCATCCGAACACAGACAACGCAGTGCTGCACGAGTTGATGGGAGACTCGTGGAAGGTGACGGAGCAATCTGATTGGCTGTTCGAGCAGACTGTGTTGCTGATTGAGGAGGACTTGAACGAGGGCCCGATGGAGGTGCCAACGTACACTGTGCCATCTGGAGTGGCTGCTACCATCACCCAGGTCAGAAATCGCACCATCTTGTTTTATACTCAGCTCACTCACCCTCGAGCACCTTGTCTTGTCATGTCTTTTCCCATTTACGCCCTGAAGTCTTGATTTTGGAGTTTCGGAGCTAGCCACCATTTCCTAGTCATACGTCTGGCTAAGTTGTTTGTCGTTACCTGTGTTCCACATCCCGTGCAACTGACCTTAGACTTTAGGCCCGTGGAGCAGTTTGTGGTAATGCTGATGTCGTCCTGGTTTCGACTTCTACAAATCTTGAAAAGGTTTTTCAGTTGATACCGTCGACTTTTACCTCTACTCGCCTGCTTACCGCCTCCTGTTTCCGACCGTGTACCACTACTATTTCTTCCCAGTCAAGCAGCTGTTTGTGCCGTTCGAATGCAAATGTTGCCGGCGTTAGTCCATTCCTCTCCGGCTTCTTGGACTAATCTCTGCCAGAAGCTAATTAAGAGGTTTCTCACTTTTCCTGATTTTGTCTGGACTTGAGCCCAGTTCCTTAGCGCGATCATGTTGACATTCCGGTGGTCTGGAATACGGCGGATGTGACCAAGTCTTTGGAATACTCTTATTTCAATTTTTGTTCGGATACTTTCTATGCCTAGCTTCTTCTAAATTTGAAAGCTGTTCACACTTCTGTCCTGTATTTTGAGCAGCGCGCCTGCCTTTCCGTTGCTCCACAAGAAGCGGTAGTCGCACATATCTGCTACACTTTGCAGCTTTTCAAGGTCAGTTGCTGACCACAATCTCAATTTTGACCGATTAGCATTGAGGCCTCTATGACTCCTTGAACGGTTAGGGTTTTTGTGCGCCTGGATAAGGTTAATTTCCGGAGCCATTACTTAACTTTATACCAAGCTTGGAAGCTCTGTTTTATCCGTCTGCTTTTCCTATGAGGATACCTAGCATTATTAATTCCTAGATCTTTTGTTTTCCGAAAACGCATTTTTCGCTTTCTCGTCTTGAAATGTTTTCTCAAACTCTTACAAGATTTTTTTAAACAACCTTTTTGCCCTGTTCAAGTTCGCTAGCCCATCCGATAAGGGATGATTCATCGGCAAAGAGGGACTAGGCGATCCTGATTTCTTCTGTGGTGCTGATTCTAAGTCCTGCTCTTTCTGCCGTATAACCAGATCAAACCTTATTCATGATTGTTCTTCTCTGCTAGAGTTCTCCTATTTTCAGTTGTTCTTTTTATAGCTTCCGAGTGTTATATGTTAAAATGTATCGTTGACGTGGTGCAGCCTTCTCTTAATCCTCGTTGAGGAGTCAAGAGCTCACTCATACCCTCACATTTTTTCACCCAATATTGGGTTTGTTCATGCAGGCCTTTAAGCTCACTCAAAACTGTTTCCGGACTTTTTAAGTTCTGCAGTTTTACCCCTAAAATTACCCTGCTATTTCTAGGATGAGCCTTCGTTAAGTCTAAGAAAACTGCTATGGCCCTTTTCATCGCTGAGTCTCCGTTCGGTTCAAACACTCTGCCTGTTTCTTTGTCAATACGGATATATGGTTGGGTAGCGTCGGCCGTTGACTTGCCTCACTTGTTACGTTTTAGCTCTCTTCCTGCACCTTCATTGTTTCCGCTCATTTTCAAAGCCTGGAGGCAAAAACTCGTGCAATGATTCGGCTGGTTAGCGACTGAAGGCATGCCCCACGGTAGTTGTTGAATTCGCTCCTCACTCCTTGTTTGTTCAGAGGAATCAGCCACCCTTCTTTCGGTTCTTTCGGCGAGATGTCTGGAACCGATATAAGAATGTTGATGATACATTCGTAAACTGCGTCCTTTACACCGTCTGATACAGCTCCCCGATGTACTGTCCTTTATCGGGTCGAGCTCTCTTTCTATACTTTTTCTGGGTTATTGGCGCTTCTAGAGCAATTGCTGCTTCCACAAAGATCGCAACGTTCTTGGGTTTTGGTCATCAAGGCCCTTCTAACTAATTCTACGTGGAGATTCTTCATAAGAAGCTTTTTATCTCTCTTTTTTGGTTATCTAGCCATAGATTCAGGGTGCTCTTCCGTTTTACCTCGCATGCATGTTTACTCTCCTAAGCGATGATTTGCATTATCTGTTGCCACTTGATCTTGGTCCCAAGGTCTGATGTCCATTTGTCAGCAGCCTCTCGATATTCTCTCTGCACAATTTCGTTTCTTAGATTCTCCTAGTTCACTAGGGGTTTCTTGGCAGTTTAGGCCACCGTCTCACCGGTTCGTGATTCAGGGTCATGCACTTTGGTAGATGATCCTTCAACCCAACATTATCTTTCCTCGTCCAGACATTCCTTATGACCCAGCTCCTCTTGTCCTGTCGGATAGAGAAATCATCTAGTTCATACCAAGAAACAGTACTAGATTTTTTCCAAGTTCTTCTTTTCCATTGGCTGAAAAATGAGTTATCCCAACACCTATAGTTGGCATGGCACCAGTTGGCGAGGTCGTTACCGGAAGTATTTTTTCTTCCTTTACCAAAAACCCAATTCCTGATCTACTGCCCTGTTGTCGGTATTTCCTACCAAAGAGTTAATGTCTCCTCCGATTTTTTGGGCAACACTTTTCTTGATATTGATCCTGGCCCAAATTGATATTACCCAAACTCCATAGCGGTTGGTACAGGGCCACAAATTAAGGGTGCTTACTTCGACTGAGCAGCAATATTTTCCACAATCTCTTAAATATCCTAGCTCCCTACGGACGTTCGCCCAACCGTCTCCGTTCCTTAGGAGGGTGCCGCTTAGCTGCCCGTGGACAAGCACGCCGTAGAAATCTTTGGTTTTGTCCATTTCGTCCCCAGTTCCTCCTCCTTTAATTCTGAAGTACAATTTCGGTCTGGCGTCATGAGATGTATCGAAGAATTTCTGTAAATCTGTTTCTATTCGGGAATATCACTCTTGCATAAAATTATCCAAACAATCTTGTTTTTATGCTTTTGTAGAATTGCCGCTCTCTGTGTTCACTTGCCGTCGCGCCTCCCTTGCCGTTGTTTCCGTATAGCGATCCGCTCACGTTTCCTCCGTTCCTTTTGCTCGTATCCTGTTGTTACAGAGATGAAGTTTGTGGTAGCACAACAGCTATTTTGGAATACTCTGCTCCAGCGTCCGTTTCCCCCCAGGTCGTTGCAGTTTCATTGCGTCCAACCTTGACAGCCGATACACGTGGCAGCCCAGTCCCTTCTCGTCAGCTTTTCTAGTGCATCCGTGCACCGCCAGGGCCCACTGGGCCGGGCTTATTTCAACGTCAAACCTCAAGTTCAAAAACACCAGTTATGTTCGGTGCCTCTCCTCTCCTTTTGTCGCCTGATTTGTCCAATTGCGGTCAGCTGCGCCGCAACTGGTTTCATAGGAGGGTATCTGCCCGACAGTGCGGCCTATATAGGCTAATGACACTGACGAGCCCATTCCCCCCATTTGTCTCGATTTTTGTTCCTCCTCCATCTCTGATGGGTTCCGTGCTTCATTCCGCATGCTGCTTCATTCCGCTTGCAGCGCTTTATTCCACTTGCAGGATTTTTCATTCAGTTTGCATATTTTAAACTCAATTTAGAACCATGTTTGCTTTTTTTGGCACATATTAACCCGACACTGGTACCATGGCAATCAGTTTGGAAATTGCTCGAGTATAAATAAACCAAGCTCTTTTCTAGTTCCCTTCTTTCAAATTCACTTTTGAATCCTTATTGTGCTGACTTTTTGCAAAAAAAAAGAGACAAAATATTTGCGCTCGGAGTGCTTTTTTTTCAGAAGAAGTTCGACATTTCAACTAGCCATTTTTGAATCATTCAAAATGTTTTGTTGTTTTGAGCCTAAGTTTGAAAAGGAATTTTACTTTTGATCTTTTTTTTTGAAAAAAAATGTGGGTTTAAAAATTGCTATTTTGGCCAATTTGGCACAATGAACGCTATATGTATTTCGCGCTATTAACGGGTAAGCGGAGATTTAATCAGTGACAGAAATCGTTCCAAATAAGTTGATGGAAGCTGATTTGGCATAATTGATTTGTTACTAGGAGCGAGTTCTATCACTTTGTACTTATATGGCCGGTGCGAGGAAGGTTCTCACGAAAGTATTAAGTGTAGAGAAAAAAATTCGTTTTTTTTATAACATTTGAATTTTTCTTGTTATTTTTGCTCCACAGACCTTAAAAGGCAGTCAAAACATTCAGGGCTTCGCCCTGATACGAGGAGTCTTGTTTAACGTTGTCATAATGCAATGAAATTGGGTATGGTGAACAAGCTGACTACTGTGCACAGATTTGTTCTTCATACTTCGCATTGTAACTTCACATAGTTAACCGTTATAACATTTAAGTAATATAAGCCACCGAACGCCCATGGATCATAATCGATTAAATTGTCATAATATGGTCAGCATCTATAAAATGACCAAATAATCGGTTATAATCCATTAAAAATGGATTATAATCCTAATATTTTTTATCCCAATAAAATCCATTATAATCGATTATAATGGATTTTTTCGAGGGGGTTATTCATGAAATTTACAATTTTGTTCAAAATTATCTCATTTCCTGTTTAGTGTAGTTGCTACGTGTTATGTTTCATAAAATGATACATTTAAGAAAAAAATTTATATATTTTTTGTCTCAACTTTTTCTAATTCATCGCAATTTAACACTTCATTTTACCCCCGCCCCCCAGCCAGTTAAGCCCCCAGTACCCAGTATACTACCACCCACCAGTCTAATATCCCCCCAGTTTACCCCTCCCACCATTTACAAAATTAATATATAACATTTATAAAGTGTCGACTTAAGAGAAGTACTCAATGGTGAGAAAAAAGATACAACATTTGTTTTGTTCAGACGACCATTTCAGAAGGTGGAAAGCAACTATGTTCTAAGTAGTCCTTTTCTCAATTTTTATCACCTCAAAAATGCGGGTCAAAATTGATATCAAACTAAAACCCGGCTGTTTCCAGCTACCCCCCATCCCATTTCAAATTTTCTGTTGTTATGATTTTTTAAGTGCTCTCGAGAAAAATTGTTTTAGTGTCGTGAAGAACTGGTCTACATTTTTTGGTGTTCAGACTAATTTAGACAAAAACTGATAAGAGGCTTACCGCCATTAAATTTTTCATTTATTTAGTACGAACAATATTTACGTTAAAAAGCGACGCTGACTCTCACTATTGCTCTTTTCCATCTAATTCAGCCGCCAATTAAAGGAAAAAACCGCAACGCAGGAAAAACGAAAGATGGAACGTGAACAAACGAATTTTATTTAATTCCATTTTTTAAATTTGTTTTGATAAATCAATGCGATTGCAACATTCTGACGTTTTGCACAGCAACCATCTATATTTTGTTCAATTATACTTGCAAAAGCAAAAATCTGGTAATCAGAAGCTAGAATGTTTTTCCGTAAGCAACTTTTCATAAAAGAAATTGATGAAACTGAACTTGCTTTAATATTGAACTTAACAATTTACAAGATTTTTCCCGCATAGTGCTTTTGTACCATATGGATTGGGGCTCCAGTCCCAGTAGGATCTGAAGTTTTTTTAGCATGCATAAAGTTGAACGTTTTTTTTTTTGGTATAAATTGAATTGTGGGCTCTTCTTGGTCTGCTGAGGTTTTGTTGTACTATAAGCGTGTATAATGGTAGTTATAAAGGCCGTTTATTGTAGTTTCAGTTGGGACTTGAATTGTTAAAAAAAATTATATCAAATTCTTAGTTGGCTGGACTGGTCTCTGCTCAAGACTCTCGGCTTTGTTTCACTTTGTAAGTTTTGTTCCGTTGCCACTTAAAATTAAATTATCTTGCCTGGTCTCCTTGCCTAAAACTTCTGTTTTATAGAAACAGGTATTAAGAAAATGTATGAGATGGGGTTTTTGTTATTTATATTCTTCGAGAAGCTTTGGAAAATTTGTAACTTCATGCCAAAAATTTAATTTTTCTGAAACTCTTTTCTACCTATTTTCAAAAACAGGTATGAATAAAGACCACCTACTCCTCTGCGCACCTCCATAATTCGCGAGGTTCCTTTTGCTTTACCTCACTGCCAACAGCCTTCAACAAGTTTTTGAGAAAAATGTTTGATACATATTTTTGGATTTTCTTAAAAACTAGCCTCCCAAATCTAAATCTTTGGATTCAATGGATATAACGGGTTGTGGAAAATTTTCCTGTTTGAGCGGCTACGGCCAAAGTTTTTTACACAAAATTTTATGGCTCTCAGACTAGTTAAATTTTTGATTTTAGACCATTTTTTGATTATTTTTGACGTTTCTCGAAAACTGCTCTCACAAATCTGAGATTGCAGAATAAAAAGAGATAACAGTTGCTGAGAGACCCCCTGCAATAGCGGCCGCTCAAATTTTTTCACGCAAAAATTTGTTTTTCTCTGAATTGTTCTCGATAATTATCCTGCCAAGTCTGATATCAAAGGTTTAATCGAAACAAAAGGTTGTTGAAAATAGCCGTTAAAATTAGCTACACCAATTTTTTAGAAAACAATTATGGCTTTCCAAAACTTTTGAAATTTTGACCGTCTTCTGAAAGTTTCGGCCGTTTTCTACAGGTTTTTTTGACTCTGCTTAAAAACTGCCCTTTCAATTAAGTTTCATCGAAATAGCCGGTTGCGAGAATTTTTTTTAGCAGAAGAGTGGCGACTCCTGATTTTTGTGTCTGGCAATTGTTAGGTCTTTGAGAACATTCCAGTAATCTCAAAAATTTTAAGTCTTCACAATTTTGTAAATAGCGAAACAATTAAGGTTTCGGGTAGAGTCTATAATTTGATATCACGCATTTGATACCGCGTCAGTACTGCAAATTCAAAAAATATCAAACACGTACCTCTAGCCTTAGCTGGGCACCTAGTTATCTTTTATTGAAACTAATGACAATTTTAACGAAAAATAATATCTTTCAATTTTATGAAAAAAATGCTTCTCATACAATTTCATATGCAAAATGCTTATCGTATAGTTTTTTAAAAGCTTTATGGAGTTGTACGAAATTGTTGAATAAGCTTTTTTCCATAATGAAAATTGTATGACAAGCAGTTCTGGTCGACCCCGTTTGTTTGGAGTTTTTTTTCTTGTTTTTTTTTTCTTAATTGTTAATGTAGAAAGCCAGTTTAACCAATACTAACTACGCGAGAGAGTTATAAACTAAGCGAAGAAATGCTATAAATTGACATCGAAAAAACCCTAGATCAGCCTCTGGGTAAATTGTGGCTACGGTTTGTACTTTCCAATAAGCATGATGATATTTCAGTCTTTCTGTGGAGACAACTACAACTGTATTTTGGATGTGTACTTGACCAATGACTCATCACTTGGAGCTGACTACACTGCAGCTTCCGAGTCCAACTTCCCAGGCACCAAAGCCGCTATCTTCACCCGGAGGTCACACGAGGTCAACGCACCTCCGCAGTCACCGATTACCACGACGCCATCACTCTCCGAAACGCACTCGGCAGAAGGATGGTTGCTGTTTGCCCTTTTGATTGGGGCGAAGTTGGCTGTGTAACGTGTAAAATTATATTTATCCATTGAAGTTTTTTTTTTAAATTTCCTTCCGCAGTTTTGTAACATTTTGAACATCATGTTTAACGATCTCAGGATTGCTTGCTCATTCTTATCGCGGATGTTTCTGTAGCGGAAAAAGATTTCACAGAAGTTTCATTTTCTTTGTCTGAAATCGACGAAATTCTGTTACTCGGATAACTTTAGAGTTTTATTTGGATCTCTCTTTAGAAACAAAACTCTTTCTCGTTGCATTCTTTTTGACAAGAATTACTGAATTTGCTTTGGTTTCAACCAGCGCGCTTGTGACATTTTCTCGCGTTAAACCACCAGATAACTAAATCTCGCCTTAAATAATCATTATACAGTTGGTCCAAATCAGTTCTGAACAACAATTGATTTCAGTAAAGAGCGTTTAAAAAGACAAAATATCTTGAATTCAGAACTGGTGGACAAAGCATTCGAAAAATTGTTTTATTTTAGCGATAGAAAATTAAATCTTCTAGCTGCGGTTGTAACCAAGAACTACAAAAAATAGCGAAAAGCGACTTATTGCAAATCATTGTACCCAGTTGCTGTGCAAGTAGCACTTGATTTTCCTATCACGTCATTGTTTATAAAAATTTATCGAGTTAATTAAAATTTCTTTCGTTTTCCCAGATAAAAAGAGAGATGCGCCTAAGATTATATTCAACAAGGAAAACCGGTCACTGAGTAGCATGTTCCGACCATAGTATTAAATAATACAACATAAAAATTTTTTTTCAAATTAGTTTTTTTTCGTTGTGATGTGATAAAAAGAGCTGCACGAAAAAATAGATAGTAAACAATTTCGACAGTCATAGTAAAAACAAAACAAATTGGAAAGCTATTTTTGTAGAAAAATGACTAGACGATTGAAAAAAAAATCCAAAAAAAAACTTTCAAAAAACTTTCTTTTCACTTTTTCTTGCAACTTTTGATTTTTTATGATTTTTGATTCCAAAAAGACGCTAAAGCACTCAAAAAAATAAAATTACTCGGGTAAAACTAAGTTTTTACGTTTTAATCATTGCTATTTCAAACCGGTTAAAAATTGGGACGTTTTTTTTTGAAAGTAAATTCTGTTCGAATCACAACTGTAAGGGCTTAAATATGAGATACCAATCAACTTTCTCCGATGATTATTTGTGCTGGGTAACTTTGCGTGGAAAAAACTAAAACGCTCCAGAGTAAAAAGTTCCTCCCCATTTTTCAAATGGTTGGATCAGGGGCGGATTTAGGGGGGGGGGGCGGACGCCTCTCCCCTCAGGAATTCGAACCCCTGCCAACACAAAGGGTCCCCCCTTTGGTACTTTTTAAGAAATCCATTTTTGGCCGACCGACCCTACAACTTTTCTAAAGGCGCCTTCGGTGCCAATATATACTAGTTTTGAGGGGGAACGCGCGCCAAAAAAACGCGTTTTTTTTGTCAAATTTTTCCAAAAAGTGCCCAAAAACGGTTTTTTTGACCTGTTTTTTCAAAAAATTGCCTGCGGCCCAGAAAATTTGGCCAAAACAGGGTCTTTTTACTGCTTTGGGAGAGCTCTGAAAATCAATCTGATTGACCTAAAAAAAAAAAGGTCGTCAAAATTTTCGAAAATTTTTTGAAAGTCCGCCCCTCCTCAAGAAAATCATAGATCAAGAAGCAAAAACAAATAATGATTTTTTTTTCATCTTTTTACCTTTTTCCTGCTGGTGGCTGAGGAGTCTGAAGTCTGAAAATATCACAGAAACCTTCATTCACAATTTTTTTTTATCTTTGGCTGGATTAATCTCTTTCTTTTGTTTTTCCGTTTTTCTCCTTTTTCTAGTCTCAATCTGCGACTTTTTCTTCTCCTGTAGCCTCTAGGGCAGGTATTTTGGCACGTACTGAAATATGTGATGAAAAAAATTAAGGGACAAGCAAAATATTGTAGTTTCCAAAAATTATCATACCTAATCTGGGAGATTTTCAAAGTTTGGACCCTCAAACAGCTCACAAAGGCAAAAAAAATTTTGGGTTCAGTTTCCGCTGCGGAATCGACACAATTTTTCTTGGGCCAACCCTTGTTTTTTTAACTACAAGGGTTCCGTCTTCTGAGACTCGACAATTTGGGTACGAAGGATATCATCTGCGCTAAAAGCAGCTCGCGAGCTATCACCTCATAAATAGAGCCCACACTGATCGAACCAGTAACTGAACCATGAAAAGGGACTCACTATTTCTTCTAGGATGAACAGTCTTGGTTGATACTCAATGAAATGCTTCAGGGGCGCTTCTGAGGGCTTCCAACTCAAAATTAATGAGCAAACAGCGCCCATATTTGAGGAGGTTTACCAAATTTTAGCATATTCTTCGTTTATTATCGCCACTTTCGAATGAACCCAAGTAATCATCCATGTAAAACAACCGTATCACTGCTCAAGTTATTTCAGAAAATTTCAACTTTGTCCTTGACTATTTAATGAAGCAAAAATTTTACGAAACATGATGAACCCGCAAGCACCAAGAATTTTGCAAAACTGCTTGATTCGATAAGGCATCTGCTTGATTTGAAAAAACATAATTAAGATTGTAAACGAAAAATTCCTTTCTTAATCTACACTTTGGTGAAATTGATTCAAAAAATAATCCTTGTCTAGAAGATAAAATGTGACAAACTATGGAAAGATTTCTACAAAAAGACAAACTTTTTTGATTTTCTCAATTCTTTAATTTAAAATAACAGATATCAAAAAATTTAATTTCCAGAAAACGAGCGTTTCCGCTACAACGAACATTATCAAATATGTACCACTCAGGTTCAAATACTTTAAACTGAAAAAAAATTCAAGAATAAACGGGTTAAGATGAACATTTTTTTAAGTTTTGCAGAGTATAATTTAATCGGACTTTCCCCTTTTCAAGTTCGGATTATTTACGTTTTTTCAAAATAAAGAAAATTGAGAATCAATGAGAAACATTGCTCTATGTTTTTTAAATGAGCAAAATTATCTGTCTTTTTTCATTGAAAATTCGGTTTAATTTCGCGAAATCAAGCGTAATCAAGGAAGTCTACGACCTGATTGCAGAGATCCACTTCCGTAGTTTTTGTCGGGTTGAAAAACTGAGCCAAATATTGCGCATCAGACAAACACTGATTCAGAGAACTGTCAATATTGCAATCTTTGGGTTATTTGCAGAGGATAGAAATCTTTTAGTTCTATATATTGCTTCAACTTGACTGTTGGGGAAGACCGACTTACTTTTATCGGAAATAAACAAGTCACATTGAGGAAGATGCTCAATGCCACTAATTACTGATACTAGATTTTAAGTTTCCTCAGAATCTGATTCTATCGTGTCACTATGTTGAAATGATTAATCTGAGGGGTGAGGGGTGGGAGGTTGAAAACCTTCACTGAAAGGCAACAATTTGCTCGACATGCATATGAAGGAGTTGGTTTTTTTTTGAATCTCCTTTCAAACTACTGTCCGAACTCTGAATAAGGAGTTTTTGTGTTTTCTGAAAACAAACACCACTCCGCGTGATATCTTTGGTGTGTTTTCTATGTATTTTACAGTTTTTCCATTCATAAAAATTTCGAAAATGAAAAAAAAACCTCGACCTCCAACATTCTGAAGGATTGCATTCGCGAATTGTATGACCAGTCACGTAAAAGATTTTCTTGAGTTTCATTTTGAATAGTCTTTCTCAGTACAGCTCGCTCGGTGTTAGCGTTTTCACGTGAATCAATGATTGTGCAGCTGATGATTTTTTTGTGCTCTAATTATTGCGACCCGGTTGTTGGAAATTTTTCACTGGGTCTAGGTTGTTATAAACAAATGGCAGAATTCCGTGCACCAATTCCAGTAGATATTATTAGAGTTTTTTAGATCCCATTGGCAATTCAAATTTGCCCAACAGTAGCAGTCCATGACACTTTATGCTCGAGTTTATGATTGAGATAACTATTCTGACTATGGGGGAGCGATAACCGTCAAAATTTGAATTTTTGCGTTCTCTGTGTGTAGATAGTTTGCAAATCGTAAAATCTGTTCTCATATTTGTTGGAAATTGCTAAATTTTCTGATATGAATGGCGAAATTAGTTCAACTACCTAAAAATTCTTAATTTCCTCTTTTTTTATGAGAAATTGCTCATCAGTATTGGTTAAAAAATCAACTTTTTCATTTTCTCCAGTATTTGAGTCAACCAGAATTACATATTGTGTTGGAATTTGTGAGACTCACAAACTGTTCATCTGACACTGTTTGCTTAGGGCACTGAGCCCGATTCGTTACCGTTTATCTTCTCAGTCTCACTTCTAATTTAGTTTAAATTTAGTTTTTAAAAATCGGCACAAATATTTTTTTTGTGAAAAAGTGAACAGCAGAAGTCACCTTTATTGAACTACTTTTGTATTCTTTATGCTGATCAGATAGATTTAAATCATCTTTTTGTTCATAAATTCGGACCAGGTTTTCAATGCTAACTTTTAATTAACTAAAGTGATTAATTTATTTTTCAAAGTTTTCTAATGCGCATTTTGACATATTAACTAGATATTTAAGTTAAATTCCGTGAAGACAGGAGACAAAAAGTTTCCAGTCTTGTATGTTGAGAATTTTTCCAGAAAAAAACAGAGTAGGGCACTCAAAAATTAAATGCTCAAATGTCTCCTGGGATAAATCACAGTTGTGGCTGCTACTTGTACTCAATCACTTCAGGTGGAATCTGCGTGCATTAACCAGAAAAACATGAAATGACATTTTTATCCACACATCAAGTCTAGGTAGACACCAAATCTTTTTGGTAAACTGAATCAGGTTATGGGCCTCCCAGCCCATTCATTTAATTGAGTTGTGGACTCGTAATAACGGATAATTTCTGTATGTACTATTCAATACTAGAAATGAATGAATGCCACACGAATTTAAGTGATTTCAAATGATCAGATTTTCAATGTACTGCTTGCTATCAGGTAAGTTTTTCCATAAGTCAAACCAGCCAAAAACCAGTTTGTTCTTGATGAGCTTAAAATTGAAAGTAAATATTCATCATCATGAAACTTATTAATTTGTACCGTTTGTTCCTTAAACCGATACTGCCATTAAAAACGCTGTGATATAACACTTCTTTTCGAATATCAAGGTTTTCACTGTTTCGGTTCTTCAGCTGATTATTTAAAGTTCCAGACATGAATTAACTGAAACTAAATCTACCTTTATATGTCGCGCAACATCAAAAAGTTTTGGCAGA